AGGATACATTGACCATCGACTTAATCAGCCCCAGACAATGGAAAGCCCCTTACAGAGCCCGCAGCTAAACACTAATGCAGACATATTCAGTCCCGTTAGAAGTCACATCCCAGATATGAATGTCAGTAATAGGAGTGATCCAGTGCGAAAAAACCCACAGGAATTCGATGGGAAGGCACCGTGGGAAGCTACTGAGGAGCAGAAAGCAGTATATCTGGCAAAGAGTTTGAAGGGACAACCACTGGAAATACTTGGACAGTTGTCAGCAGCCGACAGACACAACTATAGAGCACTGGTAGAGGCTCTAGAACTCAGGTACGGAACCCAGAATCAGTCAGAAGTCTAGTTACAGTGCCAGCAAAGTCCCTCAAACCTCTCTGAAAGCTGACCTTTTCTGGCCTTGAATCCAGATAACTGTACCAGCCTCGGTACCTCTGTGCTGGACTTAACGTAGGATTCAAATTCGAGAGCTCTGGCCATTGCATCCTGCATGGTAGAGGGGTGTGCTTGCTTCACTTGTATCTTAAATTGTGGACTGTCCAAGGCATCTACGAACTGATCCCTCAGCAACAACTTGAGGAGATTGGGTGGTGCAGTTGGGTAGGCCTTGTGTGCCATGCTTTCCAAGTCCTGTGCCAGCTCTTGCAGGCTCTCCCCTTTAGCACGGATTCTCGTCCTAAACCTAGCCCTGAAACCTGGGCACAAGAGAGCTCAATGCTGGCAACTTGAACATAGGGGAGACGATACAGCAGTAAAGGCTGCTACCCAGAAAGGGTGTTGGAACTGTGGGGAGCAAGGACATCTGAGGAGCCAGTGTAAGAAAAATACCACCAATAAGTCAGCTTTGGGAAACCAGTAGTGGTTGGTGCTAAGGGACGCCCACCAACCTCCAGCGTGAAAGTCCCAACAGCTAAGTGTAAAATGGCAAGCACACATAGTATCTACGTGACAGGGAAGCTGGATGGCCAAAGGTGCAACTTTGTCATAGATTCTGCATCTCAGCAAACCCTTCTGAGCATCAAGGTGCTGGATAAGAAAGGAGTTCCAGAAGCTGTACAGAAGTTCTGTGGTGTGACAGGACATTCTGCAAGTTTATGGGGACTATTTGGGTAACTATCGAGCTCATGGGCATGAAGAACAGACAGAAAGTACACTTGGCTGACATTGAAGACCAATGCATATTAGGATTGGACTATCTACTACCTGAGGAAGTGTGTAGTTAATTTTGATAAAATGACGATTGGAAACAACAAAGGCCAGATTCCAGTAAGCGTTGCTACATCCATTGATCTGCATGTCACAGC